ACTGTTTAATTGTGAATGATATGTTTAAAAGAATATATTAAAAACTAAAAAGCGCGCATACTGTCAACTCGATAGTTGGTCGACAAAACAATCAAAAAACTTTATCGATTTGCTTTTGATTTGAAAGTTGTACAACTATCGATCAAGCGCTCAATTTGTATTGCATTGTATTGATGTGCACAGACTGTCGATTAAACAGTTGATTCGCGACTGCCAGTCTCGTAAAAGCATTCAAAGCGGCGGCACGTCACTTGTCACCATGGCGGGAACTATAACAGAGGATACGGAGGAATTCATTAATAGCGTAGAAAAAAGGCCTGCACTTTACTTAAAGAGTTTAAAAGAGTACTCGGACATCAATCTGAAGAAAAAGCTATGGGAGGAAGTTTGCATGGAAGTCGTATCTGGATGGTTGGAATTAGACCCAGAAAATAAAAAAAAACGAGGTATGTTTCGTTCATTGTATTATTTATTTATTAAAAATTTTTTTATACTACATCATATTGCCAAGGTACAGAGCCTTGTGGAGAAACGAAATAAGACGTTAAATATTGTCGGACATTTATACCACCGTTTAGGTTTCTACCTCTGTTGTCACCATGACATATTATATTTTCTAGTGGAGCATCATACAACGTGTCTGTGAATTGTATTCCATCTTTAATTCGTACGAGGTTATGTAGTACACAACATGTTTTTATTATAGATCCTGCAAAATCTAGGTTTACATCGAGCGCTCTATGAAATATTCGCCATTTATTGGCTAAAATACCAAAAGTGCATTCTACCATCCGGCGTGCTCTTGTGTGTCTATAATTGTAGACTTTTTTTTCATAAGATAAGCCCCTTTTAGCATAAGGACGTAAAATATTATTTGAAAGCCCAAACGCCTCATCAGCCACAAGATAAAATGGCATTTGTTTCCCATTATCGTCATGGGGCAATATTCTTCCATTCGGAATATTCAATCTGTTTTCCTCTAATCTTTTTCCCACAATTGAATTTTTAAAAACACTTGAATCACAAGAACCTCCATATGCACCAACATCAATATAAATAAATTTGTAATCGGCATCAGTCCAAGCCATTAACACCATAGAATGGTATTTTTTATAATTAAAAAATGAAGATCCAGAGTTATTTGGTTGAATTAACCGAATATGTTTCCCGTCGAGGGCACCAATGACATTAGGGAAATTAGTTCTAGTATAAAATTGGTCTGCAATTTCAACCCAATCTTCTTCTGTCCTTTGAGGCATGTAAACTGGTTGCATTGTTGCCCAAATTTGATCACACGTATCTCTTACAATGTCTCTTATAGTTGTTGCTCCTATTCGATATGTAAATGAGAGGGTATTGAAGCTGTTGCCAGTTGCCAGATATCTGTAAAAATATATTACGTATTACATAAAAATATACAGAGTGTAACAGAAACAAACAAACAATCAAATCCTTCCTCTTTATAATATTAGTATAGAAGTATGGATAAACTTCAACTTTTGTAATTATTATCTGTTAAATAGATAATTAAGTCTACATTTTATTGCATACATATACAGGTGCAGAGGTCCAACAAAAATGGCTCAACTTGAGAACCTGCTTTTCAAGAGAATTGAAGGCTCAAAGAACAACATCCGGACAAGCGGCAAAGAAACGTCGAAAATATCGATATTTTGAAAAGTTGCTATTTCTAAAATCTTCATTAACAGAACGACCCACTGATGGTAATCTCGATTCCACTGTAGCTGAAGACGAAGATGAGACTGAAACCTCTGACATTATGGGCTCAAACGTACCTAAACAACAAAATAAAAGGAACAAAAAAGTTACCTCACTTCCGAAGTTTGAAGAATCTTTGTTAAACATACTAAAAGATGATTTAGACGAAGACAAACATTTTGCTCTCTCTTTAGTTCCTACGTTACAGTCTATGACAGACGACGAAAAATTTCAAGCCAAAATTGAAATACTTCAAGTATGTCGAAGGATAAAAGCCAACAGACAACATATTCAATCTTCCGTAACACTTCCTTCACGTAACATTTTGTTACAGCCTTCAACAACCAATTTCATACAGGATACACCAACAAATTTAGTACATCAAATAAGTCAGCAACCTGGTTACTCTGCATTTGCTACAACTCATATTGATGTTTCTAGACCTGAATATATCCGACAATGCCCATCTACAAGCTCCCGACATTCTGCGGATAGTGTGCAAAGTTTCATATCGACTTTCACACCTTCTCCGCACAGCCCTCTACTCGACTTGAACTAAAATTCCATTTAAGCTTTACAAACTCAATTATGTACTGGCTGTAATTACATATTATTAAAATAAAACATGTATTTTCATTTATTACTTACCTTAAAGTAACACTAAGTCTCTCTTCTACTGATATGGCGCATCTCCATATTGTATCTTGGCGTTTTATAAAAGGAGCCACGAATGAAATTATTTCATTAAACGTTTCTTCACTCATTCTATAATATTTGAAAAACTTGTCTGGGTGCTCTTTTAGCTTAGAATGTAACGTATGAAATATTCCACTAGATAATCTATCACTGAGTACAGGATGAACACAGTATCTTCTTTTTCTATCTCTCTTAAAATTTCTATAAAGCAAAGCACAGAGTAAAACTTTCTTGTTAATAGACATTGTTTGTAAAAACCTTGACTCGAGCGTTGATTTGAGGCGAAAAAAAAATCGATAGTATGCGCACTTCCATCAACTAAACTATTTAGTTGAGTAGGAATCACGAAAAGTACACAACTCGACGAAACAGTTTTGTCGATACAACAGTTGTATGTATGCGCTAGCCCTTATAGTGTTTACAAACACAACAGAAGTGAACTTTCGGAAATTATCGAAAAGTGTTGGATAGTGACCGAATTGATGTGAATAATGGAGTTGAATAGGGATGGCGGAAATACAATTAAGTAATTTTAATAAAAATATATTTTTATTTAAAAATATCGATATACTCGTACCTTTACGATATGAAAAAAGGTCAAATCTGCGTCAGTCATCTTAAGTACATTACCAGATAAATACTTATCAATAGACAACATTTTTAATAAATCAAGAACGATAAAGAAAATTAATGATATATTAACTAAACCAATATTTATCTGATACAGACATTAGAAAAACTGATTTATGGCTGTAAGCAGACTTCTGTTATTGGATACTGCGAGATTTACTGCAGGTGCCACTCTCTCTGATGAAACCGAGGACGCTGGCGATATCAAATACAACTACGTCGGAAAGAACGAAGAAAGAAAGAAATTTATAATGAGTCTTTTTTTTCGTTATTTTACCCCCAGGTAAAATATTTGCTCTTAGAGTGTTGAAATATTTGTATTTGACTATAAACTTTAAATTGAAATATTATGTAATCTTAAGGAAATCTAAGAAACAAAATTGTGTGACAAAATCCTCAACTTTTGCTGAGTACATAGCTCTTTCAGAAGCTGGTACAGAAATATTTTTTTATATGCTTGATAAATTATGTTTTTACTCAAATCATAAATAATTCATAAAAAGATAAATAAACAAGTTTATATAGTGAAGAATACTTTTATTAAACCAAAATAAGAGAAGGTTTTATTTGTTGTAGTCCTTTCTGAAGTAAGTTTGCAATAGGAATCGCTAAACTAGAAGTCACGTACTGATCGCCGCTTATGCCATGCCGAACACTCTTGAACACAGGTAGTTTATGTTATTTTTGAGTAGTGGCAACACTACCTCTTTTTTTTTCCTTCTACTACTCTGCTGCGATCACGGTGTGTTGTTTTTTAAATAAAGAATATTATAACAAGTTTTTATTTAATGAGGGAATCTTGTATAATAGTTAATCCACATGCAATTATTATAATATCATTAAAGATTTTAACAAAATTCATATTTATACAGGCATGTGGCTTCAACATCAAAAATTCACGTAATCTTCTTATGACTCTTTCTATATGTATACGCAAGCTGGCTATTTGTTTGGTTTTCTGCCTCTTTTTTGGTCATCTTGACTCCTGTTTGTACAGATGTGGGTCGGACCAACTGAATACCTGATTGTTCTAAATATTTCTGCACATTTTTGAAGCCTCTGTCGGCCATTACACACATTCCACTACTAAAAGTTTTAATAAAATCACACGATTCTACAATGCAGGTATCAGTTGCCCTTCCACCAAAGCCAGGAGATATGTAACTAATTAGACCATTTGGAGTGCATGAAATTAGGTATTTAAGCGTGTTAGCTTTTTTATATTCTGACCAAGTAAGAGCGTGGTGGACAGCATTAGAAGGTTTCTGGACCTCTATCTCCAAGCAATCTATTATGCATCCTACATTGTAATATTTGTGTCTAAAAGACATAGGCAATGTCCTTAATAGATTTTCAGGTATAAGTTTCACTATAAAAGGATGCATTACACTTGCTATCTTAGGAATGTTCTTTAAAAATATCTTGCTGGCAGCTGATGAAGTCATGCCAAAATCAATACCTAATTCTTTTAATTTGGTATCTAATATAATTTTTTTCAAGCACAATAATATACAGTGTTCAGGTAATTTCAGTTCTTTCATTATTAGATCTATTAAAAAGTAACAACTTCTAGAAATACCAATGAAAAATCGTGGATCACTTTTTATCTTTTTAATTGTATCCTGTAAGGTTATCTCCAACTCTAGTTTCGTTTCATATTCTTGGAATTCACTTCAATCCGAAGTAGATTTAGTTTGTATAGAATGTTTTGAAGGTAAAGATTCTGAACTAGTTAAAGGTGGAGCATAAAAGGAGACATCACTGTCTGAATCTTCTTGTATTTAAAGTTTTCTTGAAACACTGCTACTGCCGAATCCAGGCCTTGGTTTTTTAGAATGATCAACTTTAACCCATATATGCGCAAAACTATTTTGAGCATCGATTTTTACGATTTTCACATAAGCTATTCCTTGTTGACCCCAAAAAACGGGTATAACGTTAATTTTTATTTTTTTGTGCTGAAAGTAGGTTTTTTTTAATGGGTCGTAAACGACCCCTTGCGAATATATGGTCATACACTAGTATGGCGTTGAAATAAATTATAACAAGACTTTATGTTAGTGAAAATCAATATTTATTGTGAAGTCTTTAGGTTCAATCAGTCTTAATGTTAATTAGGAACATTGATACATACATAATTCAATTCAATTCAATAACGAATGGAATTGCCCAAAACATTTTTCTTAAAGATTTACACCACATTTGCCGCACATTTTGATTGTTTTATTCGTACACAGCGAACATCTTTTGCTGGTGGGTGCAATCTGAATAATATGCTGAGCAGCATCCTTTTTTAAAGAAAGAGGTACTTCTGTTCTCATTTGCCTCTGCGGTCCTGGATGAGATAGCAAAGTTCCATATTTCTTGAGTAAAGTCCTTGCAATATATCGACGCAAGTTCAGTGTATCAACGTTTGTCCCTTCGATCTAGCAAGCAATGAAGCATTATTATAGCGACATCAATTAGCCACATCAATATGGGATTTTTCCTGTCTTAGCAACCCGGCACACTCCGACATTAGCATCCAGTCTGACTACGCCTCCAATAAATTGATTGTATCGATGTATGAGATCTGGTTGGTCAATATCAATTTTTTGTTTTCCTGTTCCAGCAGCCACTGAATATCGGCGTGCTTTTTAAATGGGGTTTATTCCAAATTTATTGGACAAGAGTGTATAGCGCTACTGCCATTCTATCGCACGGCGCAAATTCTGTTTTTCTATCCAGTCTTTAGTCATAAAAGCCTCTAGGCAGTTTTTTTTGCATGACTTGACATCCATTAGTGGGCACTTGTCCACCCTGTTTTACCGAACTGTTCCAATAACTTTCACGTTGTAGTGAACTTAACAATCCAGGTGATTAATTGAGTACGAGATTCATTATCAACCGTAGCAGATGGCTTAATTGAGAACGAATCTTCATCGTGATGGTGATACTGTGATCTACGTGTTGTGGTTGATATTGGACCCACAGTCGCCGATAATGGAAGAAGTTGTACCGCTGACCTCATTAGTAGTTGTGTCGTTATCATCACAATCACGCTGTAATTTAATATATCGGCAGAGGCAAGCAATTGGTTTCAATTCAAACTATTTATATCGTCCCTGTCCTCTTCTCCGGAATCTCCATCTGACACCATGCCGTCTCCAGGAGGGTCCATGTAAACATCGATGCCCTGGATATGTTCATCTGAGTCTAATTCCTGCAGGACTTCGATTATTTTATTCGTAGTTAGCACTCGCCAAGACCTTATAATTAATAACTTTCTGGATGCTATATGGTCAAGGGGTCGTTTTCAACCCAACAAATTATTGCGATCGATTACAATAATAAAAAATATTCTAAGTACTAATCTCTTTATTATATTCGCTAACACACATATTGAACTAATTATAAAATAATTTAGTCCAAGTAATTATAAAGCAAATATATGATATACTTAAATTTTTATAGGTTCATTCGATTATTTTTTCAGACAAGTAATCGAGTTCGTTTTTGCATTTCAAATTCACTAATAAAATGAAGAAATTTCACGATGGTGCATTTTAGTACGTACATGTAATTCTCTAAACTAGTAATAGATGCCGCTAAAACATAAAATAGAGAAAATACTCACGAGCTGGGCTCATTATAAACGAGTTACTACCACAGGCACGAAAACGACCCAATACGCATTTATGGGTTAAAAGAGGACGTAGATACACATGCAGTTGTAGATTTTATTGGTGACATTGGTTTATTTACAGAGTTTATGCCGACTTGAATGGCTTTACTGTGGAACTTGCGAGTAATTAACACTTGGATTGCTTTATCCGCTGTCTTGTAGGTAACTACTATATCCTCTACAATATTTGGATCTGTAAAAGATAAACATAAAACTAATATATGTTAATTAATAACGAGAACCTAAGACATGAGTGTATTAGTTTACTCTTTAAGGTACCTGTGCTGGCTCGAGAAACATAGTCAATAAGTGTACTTTGCGTTCCACTACAACTGGGCTGAGGGATCTGTTCTGGTACTACTGATTCATTCAAGCATTCTTGGACAGTCATCATTCTTTGTTTTTTCACAATATAGGGCCGTTCTGTTGAAGTAGTTCTTTTCCGCCTGTCTGGTTGACAATCAAACTTACTAGGGATACATCCTGACTTCATGAGTATTTGTGATGCATGTCTCATAATTTGATACTCAGTATAGTTCACCATGTCATTTGGTAACTGTAATAAATAAGTGCAAATTAATTTCATTGAATATGCATTATTATTCCACAATGACTTACATTTGAAATTTAACTCAAGTCAATTTCAGTGCACTATTTAATGATGTATTCATACCTACTTATATTTACATTCAAATGTTATTTTATTACGAAGTAATCATGCTAATAATCATGAATGTTTTGAGTTTTAAATTGTCAGGTTATATTGACAGCTCTTTAATTGGTAGCATTCTCCATGCTGACTTCGATTTGAATTGCTCTGTCCAAAGACAGATTTTTCTGTTCTAATAGTCTATCGCGAACTCTTCTGTCCCGTACACCACATGTAAACTGGTTTCTCAGGGCTGTGTTTAGGAACTGCCCGAAGTTGCAAGTGGCTGCCATTTTCCTCAAATTTGCTACGTAGTCTCTAATAGATTCACCTACCTGTTGGTGGCAGTGGTGGAATCGAAAGTATTCGGCTATTTCCAATGGAGCCGGATCATAATGATCCTTCAATAATTTTTTCAACGTTGCATATGATTTACTGTCTGGACTTTCTGGAGAGCATAAATCACACAAAACGTCGTATGCTTCGGCGCCAACATAATAAAGAAACAAGTTCTTTTGTTTTTCTTCGTCTTTAATATCATAAATGCGAAATGCCCCCTCCAGTCGACATTGCCATCTCGAAAACTTAGTATTTTTGTTAAAAAATTCAATAATATTAACTAGAACGTGGCCTTCCATCCTTTCCTAGTCGCCAATTTGTTGAGATTTCAGCTTGATAATTAAATAAAATGGTACTCAATCAAGTTCTTAACCATTTTTTTATTTTGCCTCCAAATTCAATCAATCAAAACTGACAGTAACACTTTTAAAGCTTGCTACATGACATGAGCGTTCAAAAACAGATATAGTATATAATCATAACGTTAGATATGGAGTTAATGAGTGTTTTTAATTTATTACAGTCAAATGGATTATTATAATTACTTGGTGGGCAATATATACAAAGTATAGATATGGGACCAGTTTTTGTCTTTAATAAAATACATTTGTTCTGGATGAATTCATGAAATACTGAATTTATAACACTGTACTTCGGTTCATGTTTAATTAACATACCTACCCCATTATGACAATTTTGAGAGTTCTTGTGAATGAAATTATATGATGGAAAACGTGGGATTTTACTATTAGATTTAAGCCATGTCTCATTAACTAAACAGATATCTTTGTTTTCGTCATTTTGTAATAAGGATTTTTTGTTAGGTAAGCTTTGTATATTATATTGTAGTAAATGTAAATGTGATAAAAATGTCTCTCTGATTTTCTTAGAATTTAAAGGGGCTTTTTCCTTTTAGTTACCTAAAGCAATTAAAGATTTTACAACAGCATTCATTAAGTATTTCATTATTTGCAATTTGATTAATATCAAATTCCCTAGAGTTTTGACTTTTATAGCCAAGTTGGGAGTAATTATTCATATCATTATTGGGAGGTGTCGCACTCACCACAGTGGTATAAGATTGCTGTGAATATTTCTTCATATTCTCTTCAATCTTCTGTTTCTTCACTGGACAATCTCGGGATATGGCCAAATGATTGCCGATGCAGTTGATACAAGTAATTTCATCTACATCTTTATAGGAGTGATGTCCATCCACATGAAGAGCACATCTGGTTTCCTCTGCAAACCTTGGCTGAGTGGTTGTACCCCAGGCACTTGAAGCACTTTAAAACTGGAGGAATATATTGGTGAATCTGATACCAGAATAATAATAATATGTATTAGACCACAACAAAATACATGATTTTCGTTATATCTAAGCTTATCATATACTGTTCCTAATTAGTTTGCATCTGCTGCTGAACTGAGTTAATACCCGTTTTTCAGCATACAGCGCCTCAAAACCTCAAATTCTTGAAATTACTTAGTAAATATTAAGCAGATAAGCAACACTGAAATTTGTTTCTTATATTTGGCACAAACTTTACCTAACCTATAGTGTTATCCTCTCGGTGAGCAGAATGATAATGACTGAGTGCGTGTGAGAGGGTGAGTAATTCCAAACACCATAAACAAATTTACCGCGAGAGACAGTTACCATTACACTAATCAGTCTCGGAGAGTAAAAAGCGTACCTAATAATTGTATATATGTATGTGGAGGTAAAGAAATTGTGGCAAAAGTTATTGCTACTGTTGTTAAGGGTATTAGCCCCTCATTAGTTTATTTCATAAAGCGTTTGACTGATATTACTTAAGCGTCACAAGTTATATTTTTATAAATTTCTTCATTAGATAATTCTTTGGGAACAAACTTAATTATGCCAATTTTCTCAGTTAGATATGCTGGGATGAAAGCCCGCATGCTGTAATTGGCTAAGAAATCTTCCATTTTAAAAATGTAATTTGCTGAAGAGACTCTCTTAAAGGTGACGCCAACTTTATGTGCATTTACTCGGTGTACTTCAGCAATTCTATATAACTTTATATTTATCGTTCTTTGTGTTTGTATTGCTGTTGATCACGTTATTCTTTCTTATTTAATAATAACATTAAAAGTTTAAAACTTAGACTATCAGTATCTAGTATAAATAATGTAAATTTTATTTTTCAAAATGTCCAGTTTAGATTCTCAAACTAAAAAGGTTTTACATGGTTAATTAATATTGTATGAAACCAACAAAATAATTGAAAAGATATGAAGATAATGCATTTTATATATTTTAGGCATCGTGTTTCAAAGTATTAACTGCTTACTACTAACATACAATATCTTATAGTTTCAGACTTTTCTATACGTACCGTTCTTATTGTTACATTGTGTATATCCCTTTGAGGAAGGTATTATAAAAAGTGGACTTGTGAAGAAATAAATACCTTACTTGTATAATAAGTATTTAACTATTATATCTATTTAATATAATCCTTATTATGTACTCATGCAAACCAATACTGTTGGTGTGCCAACAGCAAATGGCTTCAATGTTGTTTATCTTCCTACATTTAAAAATAAATGTTTTTCAAAATGCATTGAACACACGCTGGCATGCCTTGAAGGCTTACAATTTGGTCTTTCACAAGCTTCAATACAATTTTGAAGTTCAGTTTCATTTATCAATCAATTTTGAAGTTCATGTTCATGTGATGGAAATCTAAAATATAAACACAATTACTGAAACACTTTTTTTTTATTTTCATATCTTAATTTGGAAAATTGAGGTCATCATTATGATAATAATATGATTGTCATATGGAATTACAATAACTTTATGAAGAAAAAACACATTTGGCCGAGATTTATTTATAAAATTAGTTATATTATCTATGATAAACTCAAACATTGCTAACCTAATACGTAGCACAATTTTTAGTGATTCTAAATACAGAAATGATATTCAATTAAGTCTAGAAGATGTAATTTAACATTACATTACATTAAATTAAGCGGTATCGTATAAAATCGTATAAGGAACTTGGTGTATAGCATGCCAAACTGCGTAAACGCAGTAATGGAAGCACGAGGAGACAGTACGAAGTATTAAAATTCAAGAAAATCGTAATAAAGTTCAAAAAATTCACGTTTCCTATTTTTTTAAGGAGTTTTTTTCTTTATTTAATTTTGTGTAAATAAAATGTGTGGTGACCCATATTTTATTTACTTGCATTTCAGGGGTAATAAATTGTCTAATAAAACAAAATGTATTTAATTAAGATAGCATTCTTACTTTTCGAGATTTTTAGGATTTTTTAAGTGACCCGTATTCATTGCTCAGTGTTTTAACGTGCATGGACCAACCCAATACAAGTATAATACAGATGGTCTAATCTTAAGTCATAAAAGGATAGAAAGCTTCTAATATATATTTTTGGTAATAACCGATCGAAAGAAATAGTAATTTTTTCAACAAAAATGCATTTTAAAACTAAGTCAAATAAAACATTTAAAATGATTTAATGTCGTGAGACGTTACTAATGACTAATGGAATATCTTATCCGGCAGTATTAAGAACGAATGTTTTACCCTTGGAGTTTATTCTTTACGAATGCAAAGATAGAGATATTGTGTCGTCATAAGAGCATTATCAGCTAATGAATCAGATTGATATGGACCGTTATTTCACATTTCTTCTGATTGATGTTTTGCTACAGCATCGTAGTATTCTTGCTTGCGGCACAATGATGGCAAGTTGGATACCAGCAGCAGTGAGATTCAAAAATGACAATGATATGCAGAGACAGAGAGGATCTCATGACCAAGTTATCAGAAACGACCGTGCTGTAGTATCCATGACCAAATGGTTTGATAGCAAACAAATATTTACTTTGCTTCGAGTGCTCATGGCGTTCAGCCAATAAAAATTGTCGACGTTGGTCGAAAAAAGATGCTCGCTGCATTGAGCTTCCACGACCAAATTCATTGACGTTTGGTCAGAAGCATCAATGAAACAAGCTTTAACTGCAGTCAAAAGCGGTAAGATGAAAGTAAATACGGCTGCAAATCATTATAATGTGCCAAGGCGTACTTCTTAACCCTGATCATGAGAAGATTTAAGCATCCCGAGTTATTCGCCTGTGTAACGTGGGACACCCATTAACACGTGTACAACATTCTGCGATCGAAATGACAATTTACCATCAGGTCGAGACTTGATAGTGGGAAGAGATTGGCTGAGAGGATTTTTATAACGTCATAGGAATATCAGTAGATGAAAAGCACAAAACCTAAATCACGCAAGGGCGCAAAAATTGAATAAAGCTGTCGTTTATGATTATTTTGCTAAATCAAAGAATGTCCTGGAAGACAATGAAATTATGAACAAACCCGAACTTATTTTTAATATTGACGAAAAGGGTTACCAACTTAATTTGCACAAATCACCAGAAATGATTTGTTAGAAAATAAGATTCACCATTTTACCAAATTTAAATTACCAGGGCGTTTGTTTACTCATCTTTGATGGAGCCAAATGCCGCTAATGCTGACCACACACTATTTCCTATCGTCCAATTGGCATGAGACAACCGATTAGATCAGTTGCAACTGATCGTATGTGGGCGTGTATTTGCAGTTAAACTTGATGGCATAATCGAATTATAATTATTTTGGCTTGATGATACCGAATGGACCGTGTGTGGCGGTCGGCGTAAGTGAGTTCAGTAGTGCCTATTTTTTTTTCTGTGGTAGACGTTTCATGCGCGTGTTTATTTTAGTTTATTTCTATATATCAAAATGAGCCGTGTTTATGGAAGCAAAGAATATCACAACAGGTACGTATATAAGTGGATGTAGAATAACAGATAGAACAAGAGCATAACATAGTAAGTGTACAAAATGAAGAATATTTGTTTTTACGTATGTATTTCTTATTAATAATGCAATAGAGTACAAGGCGTAACAATGTGGCTGCAGATTCTTGGTCAAGAATATACTCGTATATAACATCGGAATAGTCAGATGATATGAATGCAATGCACTCACAATAGTGAGTGTCATGACGCGAGCACGGACACGAGAACGCCAACAGATAATAACAGATACGAAAACGACAAACTATTCGGACAGGGAATACCTCTACTCACCCAAGAGTAGTGGAAATCCATAAAAAAACTATGGTTGAAGTGACATCATCTGACGTCGAAACCATTCGTAGTTTGCGGAAACATAATCATGGAAAAGGATGCTAGCCATTGACTTAGTCAATGTTAATTTTATTTGGTATTTCTAATAATTCTTATGAAAATTATACTTCATTTGAAATATTTTAATATATTTGTAATTTATTTTCTAAATATCATAGTTGATTGTTGAATTTTTCATTATTTATACTTACAACTACAATTCTATTAAAGTATATTTATTTTGCAGGAAGTAATTTTACCATTTTTGGCAAATGCGCAAGTAACAAATACAAGGCCTATTGTACAAATGCCCTTAATAGATGTTACAAACAAAGCAACACCACCATCAAGTGATTTTCCTGGACCCTCAGGAATTTCGGTGCCTTCCCCTGCACATTATTCACATCATGGTACATACTTGAAATGTATGAAGCAAAGCATTTAAAAACAAAAAAGGTTCGTTATATGAAGAACAAAACATACTTGGATAAAATAAGTAATAATGATGCTATCCATAAATTATCAAAAAGGATAAGTCCGACCTTTGCATTATTACTACAGCCACAAATAAAAAACTTTAAGAAGCATATCAAAGGGCGCAGGTGGACTTAGAAGATAAAATCACAGCATTAAGGCTTTATAAAAGATTTCCCACTGCTTATCGTTTATTGCGGCGAATGTTTTGTCTTCCTGCGCCATCAACTTTAAAGACTGTTTTAAGAAACTGTTCCATGAATGTTGGTGCAAACAAAGAAATATTTCAAAACATACAAAAATATATTTAAATACTGGAACAAGTAGACAACCAATTTGTAATGATGTTTGACGAAATGTCCATAAAGAAACATATCCAATATAATGCCAGATATGATTATATTGAAGGGTTTCAAGACCATGGACTTCAAGGTATATCAGAGCAACTTGTAACACATGCATTGGTGTTTATGCTTGGTGGTATTAGGAAGAAAATGAAACAACCAATAGCATATTATTTATCTGGTTCTTCAGTATCTGCGGATAGATTAACAGCACTAGTAAAAGAGGTGAGCTAATATTTTGCTAAAATTAGCTGTTTCAGTAATTTATTTGAAGTCTTTGGAATAAGTAATTTTTATTTTTAGGTACTCATTCAATGCCAGGAATTTAACATAAATGTAGCGGCAACTGTCTGTGACTTGAATGCAGTGAACAGAAGAGCTTTAAGTATTTTAGGGGCCACTACTAGAAGTCCTTATTTTCATATAAATAATAATGAAATTGTTGCTCTATTTGACACCCCACACTTAATCAAGTGCTTCAGAAACATATTCATGAAACATGACATTTTGTGCCATACTGATATATTATCAGCTCAGGGAGAAAAAGGAACAGGTAAAATAGATTTGATTTACATTCTATATATTTTATAATGCCAAGCGCAAGATCAATTAAATATTTTAAGTAGAATAAAAAACTAGATTGATTTGTGTTGATTGCTAGTATTAATTGCTCAATTTCAAAATCAATTTCTTGGATATATTGACTGACTTTAATAAGATAAACTATTTCATATTGTGTAAAATGTAAGCTTTATAATAGTTTTAGGTCTAGCAAAGTGGAGTCACATTGTTCAATTCTATGAATTAGATAATTCTAATAGAAATTTTGTGTTTGCACCCTGCCTCAAACAAGAGCATCTTAATCCAAATAATAAACAAAAAATGAGGGTGAAGTTAGCAGTTCAAGTGCTTAGCCATACTGTTGCAGCTGGCATATTTGCCAAAGTGTCACAAGGTAATTTTTTTAAATAAATCATCTGCATAACTGTTGTCTAGGGATACTTGTCACAGCTTTTTCTTTTCTTTCCACATATCGCCAGATACACAACACAACTGTAAAGAACTATTGTCTGACTATGAAGATATTGTGTCCCAATTTGAATAAAAATCTGAAGTAACTTACTATTTTTTAATACATAATACTGCTGTTAATATAATAGAGATATAATGAATATAGGGTCTCTAAAAAATTATAAGAAGACAAAAGGATAATCTATATTTTTAGTATATTTAATTTTTCTCTCAACGTTTTTTACAGGTGAATTAAATGCAGACGCTATCATAACTGCCGATGTCATATCGAAAATGGACAAGCTGTTTGATACATTAAACAGTGATTCAGCAGATCTGCGAAGAGGGAAACCGTTTGCCACAAACCTAAGATCAACAACACAACATTTATCATTCATTAAAGAAATGAAA